TTATTTGTTTCCCGGTGTACTAGGGCAAAATAAAATATGCCAGCCATTGAACACTTTAATATTTTTATAGCTGTATCAGAAGGAAGTTAATGTAATGCAAAGACTTGGGAGGCAGTTCTAGGATCATAGAATTTTAAATCTGCAAAGCTCTCCCCAAACTCAGAATTTTATACTGTTATACATACCTTTCATATAAAGTTGACCATATTTTGTCTTGAGGGGAAAAAAATGTTTTCTCCAATAAAATAAACTGCGAAAAAGAGACTCAGGATGTTTCTACTCAGTGAAACTTCAGCCTACCTGAATTGTTGGCTTTTCCAGATCTTACCTTGACTCTGGATCTTCCCTTTACTTTGATTTAGAATGCTTTGTAAACTTTCCTAGGAGTCCTAAAGGTCTCATGGGCTTTCTCCAGTTTGGTAAATATTAAAGGCAACTCCTCTGGGGATGTCTAATTGCAAGGTTAGAAATTTGCCTCTGTCCAAACAATGCCAAAATTCTGGTCCAAATGGGGGTTCTGTTCATAGGCAACAAAGTTAACATTTTTGTTTTGGCCCCACCAAGCATTGCCGCATTAGACCAAGCCCCAGCTGTACCTGTAACCTCTTAGTATGGAAGGTGGTTGATGAAGGGTAGGGGCTCTAGGCTGGCAACACATACAGCTGGCACCATTTCCTGTCACATGCATAGAAAGTAGAAAGCTGATATACATGAATGATGTATCAATCATGTTGAATCATTACAGTAGGAATTGCAGTGTTCCAAAATAATAAATAACAAGCTAACCTAAGGAGAGTAGAAGAATTCTGGCTTGCAACTGGCTGAATTCTATAGTCCTCTGTCGAACAGAAGTCTTATATTTGACTTGATCAAAGGCCACCATCCTCATCCCTAGTAGTGTAAACCAGTTAAATCTCTGTTATTATTATTATTACTATTATTATTTGAGATGTTTTATCCTAATAAAAAGTCCACCAAACTTGGAGTTAAAATATTGGGTTTTAAGTCCCAGCTACTCAGGAGGCAGAGGTGGGTGGATCACTTGGGCCCAGGAGATTTGTTTTTCTTTTCTTTTTTTTTTTGAGACAGAGTCTTGCTCTGTCGCCAGGTGCAATCTCGGCTACTGCAACCTCTGCCTCCTGGGTTCAAGCATTCTGCTGCCTCAGCTGAGACTACAGGCACATGCCACCACGCCCAGCTAATTTTTGTTTTTTTAGTAGAAACGGGGTTTCACCATGTTAGCCAGGATGGTCTCGATCTCCTGATCTCGTGATCCCACCAGCCTTGGCCTCCCAAAGTGCTGGGATTATAGGTGTGAGCCACTGAGCCCGCCCAGGCCCTGGAGTTTGAGTCTAGCCTGAGCAACAGAGAAAGCCCCATCTTAAAAAAAAAAAAAAAAAAAAAAAAGGATTAGGTGGTTATAGTCTCAAATTGGGGAATATTAACAAGTAGTAATGCCACAAATTGGATTGTTGTAAGAAACCAAAGATGTGAAAATATGTAAAAAACCTTTGTAAATTTTAGTGTTTTATTATCAGTACTGGAAATAGCATTAATGCTTGCTTTCTAAACAGGAAAACAGGCTCTCCATTTCTGATATTTTTAGTTAAGAGGGCTTTTAAAATTCGCTGTCTTCTGTGATATATGTAATAATCCTGAAAAAATGCCAGAGAGAGGAGAAGAAAATTTGGTTCTGTATTCTGTTCTGTGTGCTGGAGGTTTGGGGAGAAATAAGAATTTTTTTTAACTCTTGTCAATTGAAAATACATGTATATATATATTTCAAAACCCAAACTAAGTCTGTGCAAAAAAATAAACTCAGAGTTACTGGTTTCAAGGTTTGGTGTGCATGAGCTGTTTGGGATGCTTGTTAAAAAGGTAAATTCCTAGGCCCCAGCCTTGGAGATGCTGAGTCACTGATTCTCCACGGCACCTGGCGCCTGCCTTTTTGCAGGCACAGTATGTGATTCTGATGCAGACAGTCCCAGGACCACTATTAGCAACATTGTCTCCAGAGTGTACGACAGTTGTAGGAGTTGAGAGCAGAGGGAACTTGCTGGTTTTCTTCCAGTGGAAAGAAAAGGATTCATGGCTTGGCTAGTGTTTTAGGTACTGCATGACCTAAATGTTTTAAGCTAGGATGAGGTGGAGAGAAAAAAAAAGAGGTCATTTCTAGGCACAGAAGATTGCCAGGGAGCTGACTCCATCTGGAACAGAGAATTCGGAAGCGGTTAGAGTTGACATCATCATGAAAAATGGTTAGAGAAAAAACAAAAGGTGAGTGAAGGGATAGGAAGGAAGTGAAGTAGTCCCGAGTCCAGGTGACATCTTCCGTGAAACTTACTCTGAAGCAACTGTTCTTTTATACTCCTCCGACCTGAGAGCACACACATCTTTCTCCATTTTATTTCAAGAACACTTGGAGAAATTGATGCAACTTTACCCCCATTGTAGAAAGCCAATTGCACAACGAAGATAGAATTTTGGAATCGACAGGTATTTACAGGCACCGTATTTACTATGGACGGGAGATGGTATTACGTGCTACGTGTTTGCTACGAGGGGTAGTCCTGGCAGTTCATGGTTGTGTGCCTCTCTTTCATTAACAATGTCTTAGACAAATCGAGTATGATACAAATAGAGTGTAATAATACGACTGACACATTGGGGGCTGCTTCTTGAAATAGCACTTAAAAACTCTGGAGTTCTGACAGTGTTTGAGTATTTTCACTAAAACTTTTTATGCTTTAACTGTATAAAAAGCACAGTTCTGAACCCAAAGTGTGAACTTAGTGTCTTGATCTGCTGTAAAAACCTCAGATTGGCATGTCTTGGGACATATATCAGCATCTCAAAACCGGTTTGCACTTGGGGACTTGCCTTCAAGGTAAACAGATTTCCTTTTAATTAAGTGCGCCAGTTGACGAAGCAGCTATCCACAGACCAGGCAGGAGTCGAAGATGTATACACTGTTAAAAGATGTCATCTTGTAAGCAGCTAAACATCTCCATCCGTGGAGAAGCCGCCAGCCTGAGGAACTAAGTGAACATAATTAGAAATACATCTGGGTATTGGCCTCCTATCTGCAAAGGTCGCATGCACACCTTCCATTGGTACTGGTTATGTTCCGTCATTATGTTCCATCCTTGCTCATCCGTCTCCCACTGGTTACCAGATGGCCATGATAATGTCGGTATCCTTAACAACTGTCTTGTGCAATTCCCTGCAGCATGGTAAAGGCTTGAAATATTGAGTGTTTTCCCTTTGGAGAAGCAAGTGACATGTCTGGGAATTGCTTACAACTGCTCTGATGGGTGGTTGCAGAGTGATGGCAAACTGGGTCACGGAGCCTAAATTCAGCCTGATGTACAGGTGGAGGCCACCAAAGCAGAGTGTTTGCCATTTCTCAAGCTTAAGATGAAGGAAGGCTTCATCCACGCAGAGTCTGATGTTTACAAATGAGCACAAAATAGAGTATAAATAAGCACTAAGATCACTGTAAGAGGAAGCTTAGCTAAATTTGCTGAAATGTTCTCCTGAGTGAAGGTAGTTCTGATGGAAACTCTCTCACGAGGATGCTTAGGGAGTCCTCCCAGCATGGTTCTCTGAGATGTGCCAAGTTACCAGATGGATTTGAGGAATATTAAAAGGGAGAGGGGGTATGCATGTGGGGAGGGTGGGGAAGGTGGGTGTATCAATCAAGTTGGGATAGATCACACGGCAATAACATATGACTCGCAAATCAACATTGCTTTAGAACAACAAAGGTTTATGTTCTGCTTATGTTATATGTCTCTTTTGGATCAACCAGGGGTTCTGCTTCATGTTGTTTTTTACTCCAAGGCCCAGACTAGCAGAGTTGCCACTATCTGGGGCATTACGGATGGTCACAGCAAAGACAAAGAGAGATTGGGTTGGGGCACACTGGCTCTTAAAGCAATCAATCACCCACTTCTGTCATATTTCATTGGCCAGGGAAAGTCACAAGGCCACTGGCCTCCAAGGGAGTGAAGCGTACAGTCTTTCTACAGGCCCAAAAGAAGAACAGGAAATAGTTGCTAAACAGCACTCATGACCCCCAGAGCAGATGGTGATGCTATTTAGAACCTTGGACATCTTCGGGGCCAGATGACATTTTCAGAGACCTCAAACACTGAAAAGATTATACAGATGCTTCTTGACTTTCTATGGGATTACATCCCAACGAACCCATTGTAAGCTGAAGCTATCAAGTCGAAAAGGCATTGAATACACCTAACCTACTGAACACATAGTTTTCCTAGCCTACCTTAAACGTGCTTGGAACATTTACCGTAACCTATAGTTGAGCAAAATCATCTGGCAACACAGGACACTGCAGAGTACTGGTGTTCACCCTCTTGATCCCGTGGCTGACTGGGAGATGCCACCTGCTGCCCCTGCCCAGCCTTACAGGAGGGTATCCTATTGCATATCACCAGCCCAGGAAAGGTGACAATTCAAAATTCAAAGTATGCTTTCTACTAAATGCATGTTGCTTTTGTACAACAATAAAGTCAAGGAATCTTACATGGAAGCATCATTCAGTTGAGGATCATCTGTATAATCCAATATAAGAGCAATTCCAAACTAGAAATAGATGTAAAGAAGCCCAGCAGAGTTCTGCCTTTCCTTATGGTGATGATGACTTTAATGCTTAAAAAATATGAAGATATTTTTCCAAACAGTTTTTGGGTCCTGCTGAGTGCTGATGACACAGACACTGCTTACTGTGTCCAGGGGGCCAGGCTACTCTTTCTTTTCTCCGCAAAGAGGGTCCACTGTGTGGGTAGCCTGAAGCACGTTCTGTGGGGCTGGATGGGTGAATTGGGGCTGGGAGGATGCTGGCATCCCCCAGAATGTAACAAGGATGAGAGTCTTTTTAGTCCCAAACTAGAAGTGTTTATTGAAATGATACTATGGCCATGAAAGTTCTTTGTCAGAGGGAAGAGGGTAATGGAAGTGTTTTCTCGTTTGTCTAGGGGAGGACGAGGAAGAAACGAACGTGATAGTTCTCAGCTACCCCCAGTACTGCCGGTACCGCTCGATGCTGAAACGCATCCAGGATAAGCCATCTTCCATTCTAACGGACCAGTTTGCATTGGCCCTGGGGGGCATTGCAGTGGTCAGCAGGAACCCTCAGATCCTGTACTGTCGGGATACCTTTGACCACCCGACTCTCATAGAAAACGAGAGTATATGCGATGAGTTTGGTGAGTCTTTTTTTTTTCCTATCTGATACTTGTGCGTGTGTGCCTAGTTGTTTTCAGTTCTTGTGAAGAGCGGTGATGGGGAACGGGGCTCACTTTCACAAGCCCCATGTGCTACCCCACCCCTCCCATCCCCCAAATTATTGCGGCATAAGGCGTCATTGCCTGCTTTGCAGCCTCTGTTTACTATGAGTAAGAGATTATTATTTAGCATTTGTTGTTCAATGTAGAGTCTGAAGTTGCTTGGTCGACCTTGAAATTGGACTTTTGGACAGGAAGATTTCATGTTAGTTCTTTCTCAAAAGGCTTTGTCTATTCAGATGCTTTTTGATTTAACCAGCCACTCTCTTCATTGTTATAAAGTACTGTAAAAATGCACCAACGGTAACCACTTCAGTACTAAACAGTGGATGGATAGATAGAAAGAAAGAAAACAACTTCAGTGCTGTATGGTGGATAGATAGATAACCACTTCAGTATTCTACGGTAGATAGACACATAGAGAGATGACAGATAGATAGATAATAGATCTTCACGTCCCTGAATTTTTTCCTACACACACACACACACACATACTGTACCCGCCAGAGACGGATATGTACGCACACATCTTTATCTGCTTCTCTGCCTCACTGACTGGTCATGTGTCTCTATAGACAGACGGGGAGGAGAAGAAGATATCACATCACCGGTTTGGGAAGCCTGACATGGTACAGTAGATGGTGAGATGCAAGCCAAGACAGTCGTTCTCTTACAGTATCATTTTCTCATCTGTTTGTTGAAAAGACTGTATCATATCAGTGGTTTTCAGCAGGCTAGGCATGGATGTCAGAATATCCTGGGAGAGGCTTATCAAACTACACGTGTTCCTCTGAATTTCTATACTTAGAGGCGTGGACACCTATCACTCTCACCCTTCCCCTTCTCTAAAATCACTATCACAGAGTGACTGCTGGGATGGCTGAGCCCTGCTGAATCCCTCACGGCTACCTGGGTGGAGAAGAGCATGAGACCCTTAGTGTGGAGAGAGCATAGGTTCCCTTTGACCTGAAACATTCCTTGATTCTGTTGGCCGACAATTTCCAGAGGATCCCTAGTTGGCAGATTATCCAGATTCAAGTTACTCAGCTTACCCTTCGCAGACCTTGGTATGGTTTCAGGAGTCCACTGTGGCCTCTTAAATTGGATTCTTCATGATTCCAACAGCCCTGGTGCTGCTGCTGGAGAAATGCTGCAAGTAGATATGTGAACAGAGTCGGGGTGAGGATGAGGAGATGGGAGATGATGATCAAGAAGGAAGGGAAGAGAGAGAGGAAGGGGAACAAAATGATCTAAGTTCATTAGATTCAAAGGACCTTGACACTTTCTCCTTCTAAATTGTTTTTTTTGGATGTCTTTCACACCTCTGGCTTATCAGATGACTGCCATTCTGTAAGAGGGCAATAGTATTTGTACCAATTATTTTTTTCTTCTTCAAAGAAATGTATTTATTGCCACATTTTTAATATTCAAATATCCTTTCAAGTAGATAAATGTATGCAATACATTTTTTTTACAATGCCCTCTTTTCAATGAGCATTTACAAATCTTCCCTTTTCAATACCTGTGTTTGAGGGTTTTTTTCCGCATGCCAGGCTCCCAAACCTCGCTTCCTACTTGCTGCTCAAGAGGTCTCTAAATTCCTGACATAGAATAAAACTGAAAGCATGTGTTCCCTTATTTAAGAGAATTCAAAATTAGAGTTTCACAATGTAATATGAGGAAAAAAATGTTTTAACCTTTTTGGCTAATTTAAGAGTTATTAGTCATTGAGTTTCAAAGCTGTTGCATCTAGAATTGGTAATAGAAGTTCCAATTTAACAGCGATCACAATGGTTGTTAAGAGTTACTAAATTAGTTATAAATGTTCTCACAAACACAAGCATCTGACTTGTGAATGTTTTCCTGAATTTTCTTCTGGTATAGCTAATTTTAATGCTGTTTTTCTTCTCCAGCCTCTTAAAGTGGAAGCTTTCTTTTGGAATAAAGGTACCTTTAGAGACCTTCTAGATGGCTAGTTTAATAATTAGAGTATTAGAATTTTTTTTAGTTGTTTGTACTTCAAATAGTTTGTACTTCTTAAAGTCTTTCATGTTACTAAGTGGACCAAAAAGCTTATTTTGAGCGGATTTGAGCAACTTCACCCACATCCCTCCCCACTGTCCCACTTTCAGTCACAATCTAAATTTCCAGAGAGCACCCTTTTAAATCTCCAACTGGTTGCATTTGAAATTGACATGGGTTAAAGTGTTTGTTAAAATGTGGCATTGAGTCTCTCCAACCAACTAACAGTTGGTGGAAGAACATAAATTTAATTAGTGACTAGCATTAAACAAATGTTCCTAATATTAAACACTGCCAGATGACTGAAACACTTCTGTCAGATTACCGAGAGTGCCAGGGGGCCCACAGATGAATTTTCTACACAGTATATATTCTGTACCACACGTTTGGTGACTTCAGTAATTGGTCAAATGTAATTTAGGTAACAGTATGCCTAGGCTGTAAAAATCAAATTTTATTGGCCATATCACCAGGTGGATGAATGGTAGAGCTGATGGCAAAGAGTTTATAGCATTTAGCAGCTACACCTTTGACACATGAAATTCATAAATTGCCGTGAAATACCTCCAAGGTCCTTCTCAAAAGGACATTGTCTGCTTCCCTATGATTGAATAATGTTTATTTTATTAACTAATATACTTTTTGCTTTCTTCTATTAAATGCGATTATGGAGTGGGGGTGAGAGGAGGTGTTCAAAAGATAAATAAAATTTGGTTCTTGCTAGTTTTGAGAATTTAAAATCTAATTGGGGAAGACAGGATTAACACACCTGAAAGGTTAACTAATGTTAAAAGAAAGTCAATGATTAAGTATTTGATGCATGTTGCAGAAAGCAAGTGTGGTAGGAATTAGCAGTGGGCTGAGAGGTGGATAGAGATGGCAATCTTTGTGAGGGGGTCAGGGAAAGCCTTCTGAAAAAGGCGGGGTTTGATCTGGTTTTAAAAGATAGGGAGCAATTTAATAACTATTCATTTCTAATTTAAAAAAAAATGATTGGAAATGTCTGGATTGTTTAAAACTGATGTTCTGAACTTCCATTTTGGGTAATGGCTGCCTTCACCCGGGATAAACTGTTGGTCTGTCTTATATTTATTCTGCCCTTAGTTACTACCCTTTGGGTGAGTTTCATAAAAGGCCTGATGTCCTCTCTCCTTGTGGGGCACGCATGTGACTCAGTGACCAAGCCTGGCAAGAACCCAGGCTGTGACTTTGGAGCAGGGGCTGGCTTTCCATGTTGGATAAGAATGAGTCTGAGTTTTGCTGTGTGCCGTAGAGCTTACCTGCATTCCCCTAATTCATCTCTGAAAATAGGCTTTGCATTGTGGGATGACCTTGCCCAATTGTCCATACACCCACCCACCCCTCATCCCCACTGCTATTTTAATGTTGTTCACTGAATAACAAGTTTAATTGAACAATAAAAGTAAGGCTTTTAAATCTACAATGAGTCCCTGTAAATAAATTCTCTGTGGAATTTTATGAAGCGATTTAATGAAAAGTTTGATTAGAAACTATTAAAGAAAAATAGAATAGATGAAATTTCATCATTTAGTCCAACATTACAGTAGTGTCATTTTGATTTTTATTTACATTGAGATATTCAGAATTGAGTAAATATATCCTGGTTTTAATTAACTATCCTCCTTACTTGGAAAAGGTTATTTTAGGCTTGAAGGGTTTTGATAGCATACCATCTGCTTTCTTCACTGTATTTTATTCAGGTCCCTTCCTTGCTTACAGAGCTGTGCAATGTCTAAACCTATGACATAAGCATAAATTGAATCGTATTAATGGTAGGTGATTGAAAAGCTTCAGTCTCTACATCCTGCTTGCATTCTTCCATCTTGTCAGTTACACTGCTCTTAAAGGCAATAAGCTCTTTACTTAGCACAAGAGAATTGACTATTTTTAAAACGAAAGCAACAGACTCCCCATTAAAGCATTATGAAAACTCATTGTATTGCACATGCAATTAGGAAATGAGCTTGTAATTCCAATGAGGAGAAAGTGATGTGAATGGCAATTTTTTCTTCATAAGAATCTTTATCCTGTACATAATTCCTGCCTCCACCGTCCTGTTAGAATAGCCTAACATCAAGCATTCACCAACGACCCCCTACCTTGCTTTTACTTTTTAAAATGATTCCTCTTTTGTAAAATGTATGGTCATTTATATTGTGTTATTTTCCATGCCATAGAAAAAACAAACACATACAAATATTTTTGTTGTTAGAACAATAAAATGTCCACCACTTTGTAATGCACAATGTTTACATTGATATCACACAGATTGATTTCACATGTGTGAAGTGTTGACAGCTAAATCCAAACAGAGGCACACTCAGTACAGTAGATAAATGGATAACTTTAAGGTACTGGCTTCCATCAAAGATATGTAAGGCAGCTCAATATACATAAACGAGATGAAATCAGTTATTCAAGGTGTGTGGGACTAAATGGATTAAGAAATGGTGACTTAAAAAAGCGATATGGTTTATTTTGGTCTGAGGTTTGAATTGCAAAGAAGCATAAGACGTTGAAGTTGTGCTTTTAAATCTTTTGGCAGAGGGGCGTGTGTGTGTGTGTGTGTGTATATTGGCGAGGGTGTGTGTGTGTGTGTGTGTGTGTGTGTGTGTGTGTGTGT